GAGCCATCTCTCCAGCCCTCAGATGAAATTTTTCTTTTGTCTTTTTGAGACAGGGTCTCCCTGTAGCCCCAGCTGTCCTGGAACTCAACTCACAGAGATCCCCTTGCCTCTGCCTCCTGAGTGCTGGGATTAAGGGCGTGAGCTACCATGCCTGGCTCAGATGAAATTTTTTAGGAGTGAGCCTCCTGTAGCAATGTCACCACCACCACTATGTCACCTGTGCCCACAGGATCTGAAGCTAGACTGCACTTAGCTCTGGCTTCATGGAAATGAAAAATATCTGAAGAGGAACAATGGAGAAGAATACCAAGAACTTCATACCCACTAACAAGGAAGGTATGAGAACTAAATGTCAGGCAAAATTTGGTAATTTAGGGAGGAAAAGACTGGATCAATTTGAGTATATAGAAATAAAAAGGGTCAGGGCTGAGGAGAGGGCTCAGTGTCACACAGTGTCAAGCACCTGTCACACAAGCCTGACATCCTGAGTGTGATCCCAGAACCCATGTAAAAAGCCAGATGTGTAGCATCCACCTGTAATTCCAGCGTTCTTACAGCCAGCTGGGAAGAAGAGACAGAACAATTTCCTGGAAGCTGAAGTATAGTACACAGTGCAGCAGTAGAAACAAGAGCGACCCTGCCTCAAACAAGGTGGGAGGTAGGAATGGACTCTGGAAAGCTGTCCTCTGACCTTTACACATACCCTGTGGCACTCGGCTACACTTTAAAAATTTTATTTATTATTTTTAATTTTTTAAAATGTGTATGTGTGTATTGACTACATGTGCATAAGTGTACCCGTGTCATGCAATGCCCATGGAGGTCAGAAGAGGGTGTCAGATCCCCAGGAACTGTAGTTACAGACAGTTGTTAGCAGCCATATGGGTGCTGGGAATCAAACCCGGGTCTTCTGAAAGAGCAGTCAGTTCTCTTAATCCCTGAGCTACATAAAGTTCAATACTTCATACACACACACACACACACATACACACACACACACACACACACACACAGTACTAATAATCTAGGTCTAAAACAGAATTCACTCAATTTGATAAAAAGTAACAAAAATTACAGCAGTTACCATTTCAATTGCAAAACACTGAAATTTGCCCTTAAAATAATGAGGCCAGAAATTCCCCTATGATCCTTTATTTACTCTAATATTAGATATCTTAGAAGCTACAATAAGACAAAGAAAATGAAAATTAAAAACATCAGAAAACAAAAAAGATAGACTATTTTCAAACATTATTATGTACGTATAAAACCCCACAAAGCTGGGCGTAGTGGGACACACCTGTAATTCTAGTCCTTAGCAGGCTGAGGCAGAACTATAAGGTTAAGGTCAGCTAGGCAGCCTAAACTGCAAAACAAGACCTTGTCTCTAAATAAATAAATAAATCAGACATACAAAAAACCTCTAAATACATAGGGAAATTATTAGAATTATCCAGTGAATTTAGCAATATCTCTATAGCTAAGTAAAAGAGAAAAAAAAAAAACAATTTTTATATACTAGCTATAAAGCAGAACAAAATGCTTTTATAATAAAAAAGGTAACATTTACTATCACAGTATCAAGATAGCAGATATCCTAGAATAAATCTAGCAAAATATATACAAGATCTCTAGACAGAGAAGGATTCTTACTGAATTAAATGAATGAAAACATGCTAGGTGAGCAAAAAACCTGAATAATGAATATGGCAATTTGTCCCAAATGTCCTTAAATGTTCAACTACATCTCAATCAAATTTCCACTGTTTAAAGTATGGAAACTGGCACACAGATCCTTTTATATGGAAATTCAAAATTCTTAGAATAGCTGAAATAATCCTAAGGAACAAAGTTGAGCACACTCACTAGCCTAACAGACATCCAAGCTCACTAAAGTGAAGATAAAAGTAATCATGAAGCAAAGAAAAATCCAAAGCCAGAGATCAACATAGAATTATCTGTTTCCAGACAAGGAAAAGAAAGATTTTTTCAATAATGTCACCAGATCAATATATTTATATTTACACATATGTAATAATTTTTGTATTAAGTGAAAGTAAAATTGAATCTAAATACAAAAGATTAAATGATAAGAGAGGAAGAGGGTTATATAATGCGCACGTGTGCGTGGTCCAACACACAGGAACTCTCCCTCACTGCTGTGTCCTGGAGGCTGGCTGGCCTGCCTGCAGGCTTCTAGGATGCTCCAGTCTCTGCCTCCATCTCAACACAGGAGCACTGAGATTATGGACCTGTGCTACTAAGACAGACTTGTTTGGGTTCTGGGGATTTGAACCTGGTCCTCAGGCTTACATGGCAAGCATTTTATCCATGAAGCCATTTCCCCAGGCCTAATGTGGTCTTTTAGAAATTCTTTGGCAGTTTTAAAATGATTCACCTCCGTTACCTTCTCTTATCCCCCTCCTTCTCCATCTGAAACCCCTGTTTCCAGCAAGTCCTCTCTTACTTTCATGTCTTTGTGTGTGTGGCCCGGAGTTTAATTAGAGTTGCCTACATGAGCACTCACCTTCCAATTTAGTTACAAGATTGGATTCACTTTTATTCTTCAAGGTTATTGAATCAGTAATAAGTTCAGAGCTCTTTTCACTGGACACCAGAGAATCTTTGGAATGGACAGTCTGAACAGGCTACATGAAAAGCAAAAAAGTTTCAAATAAAATAATGGACCATAAATAGCAGTACCACTAATTTGTCCTAATATTCAATACATTCAAGTTTTATCTATGTGAAAGCTTGCCAATAAAATGATCTATCACCTTTGACTAGACTCACAAATTCCCAGAAAATATTACTTGCCTGAATTACTGAATAGAATATCAAGACAGGTAATTAATTTGAGGAATTTGCTTTCAGTGAACATGCTACCTAACTGCTACAATATATTTCACTAACAAGAAAAGTGTCAAAGTCTGAATCCAACACAGGCTCAGCATGGTGAGAAGATTTAAGTAATGTGTTTACATGATTACACTTTTTTTGTTTTGTTTTTCAGACAGGGTCTCCCTGTGGCCTCAGCTGGCCTGGAACATGCTACTTAGACCAGACTGGCCTGGACCTCACAGATATCTGCTTATCTCTGCCTCCCAAGTGTTGGGACTAAAGGCATGCACCACGACACCAGTACAATTGTGCTTTTCATTTAGTTTTTGTTCGCTTGTTTTGCAGTGCTGGGGACTGAACACGGAGCCTCATACATGGTAGCTATATGCTCTACCACTGGCTAAATCCCCATCCATGATTATACTTTATGACCAAAATAACAGTACTAGTAAAAGTTAGCATTTGCCTAATTCCACGACAGTAGTTATTATAAATTCAGAGCATAATCTTTCTGATATAATTAAGTACTATTCGATTAGAAAAGTTAATATTTTAATGCATGTCACTAAAGAGAGAAGCATCAAAGCTTGTAATGCTGAAAATTCACCCCACAATGCCAGAGGTTTGAGCCAAGTACACCCATAATTCCAGAATCCTTTTAGATCACAGTGCATCTGGAACGAAAGGTTCTTCCCATGCAAAGTTGACAAAAGGTATGGCAGGTCAGATCAGCTGAGATACCTATGCTCTAACCTCTGCGCCCACATACTCTCTGGTTTTTGTTTAAGGTGCCTTGCCAGAATCATGTGAATAAACTATCAAGCACAAAATCTGGGCATAATATCTCCCATGGGTATCTTCCCAAACTCAGGCCGAAGAGCCCACTGAGATGCATGCCTAGTAAAGGCTAGCTCATGACTCCCCTAAAAGATAGGCAATACTTGCTCTCACACCTGTGCCACCTACCCGAGGTGTTCTCACCCCTGTGGTTTCACCAACACTTTTGGAGATAAACAGTAGATCCTTTCCCCAGAGAAAGCTCCATCAATTCTAGACCAGAAACCCTTGCTTCAAATACATTTAAAGTTGAAATACCTTTAAACCTCTCAACTCATAGGAATCATTTCCACTTGGTTTGGTTCCAGGCACAACTGAATCTCGGTATTCTGATCCAGATATCTTTCTATTACTCAGGAGACAAAATGATTTTAACAGTTAAATTGAAATTGCTTCTGTTTTCATTTTCACTTTAAATATCTGGCACACACACTCTGAATTGGAAACATTTATTAGAAGTGACATAATTCTACGATAAAGGTGACTATGCTAAAACAGTAGGTGCTGGGAAATGACAGAAGTAACAAAGAGATAGTAACAGTGTTACAGCTGGAGTTAAGAATGTGGGAAAGGAAAAGTACGCAGGTGAAACTACATTTCAGACTGCACAGATGTGAACTGTTCTGTGGGCTTCTGTAGTATGTGACATACAGCCAGTCTGAACAGGTCATAAGAAGCGGCTAAAATTGGGGGTTGGGTAGGAGAGCTTTTTGAGAAATCTTTTTCTTGGAGGGACGAAGTCTCCTTTATGGTTCAATTAGGTGTTGTGGAACAGAGCAAGATGAAACGATACCAGGAATATGGAGCTTAAACACAACAAAATACTTTAAATTAGAATGTCTATTCAAAGCCTGAAGATAATAGGACCAAAATTTTGAAAATACCAACTAAAAACTCTAAGTTGTGTTTCTCAATTTTGTTAACAGACAAGAAAAATCTCTCCTTTGGATGAGCTGCTCCCCCTCCACCTGACAAAGTCTTAAGACATAGCCAAGGCTACCTTGGAACTCAAGAATCCTCCTGCCTCAGCCTCCAATCTCCCAAGTGCTGGGATTACAGACATGTACCATCATACTTGGCAGTCTCCAATTTCTTATGTGGGAATAAGCAACCATATGAGGGGGATTATGAGATATGATGAATGATGATTCAGTATGAACCTACCATACTTATTTTCAAAGAGATGGAGTCTTACTATGTTGCCCAGGTTTGACTCCAAACTCCTGGACTCAAAAGATCTTTCTGGCTCAGTCACCCTAATAGCTGGAGCATAAGCACGTGCTACTTTACCCAGCAGTGAATCAACTCACTCTATTTCTTTTTTGGTGCTGGAGGATTGAACCCAGGGCATCGTGTATGTTCAGCATGTACTCTACCAGTTACACTCTCAGCCTTGATCCCATTTCTTAAAGCCCTCAACTCTGAAACAAATGAATTCAGCATTCTTCCCAGTAATAGTTAGCCTGCCCCTTAAATGGCTGAAAAGACACTGTCCCCACATCACCTTCCATTTCTGTCCTGAAGATTCTCACACGCACTAGGAAGAGAATCTCACCAGACATACTATATCCATAAGCAAGGAATGCTCAAACACCATGAGATTTCATGCTCCATGGCTTTGCATGCTTCATGCTGACTTACTTTTTTTGTAACATATCTCTTAATTTTAAGTTATTTTAATGAATACATACATACATATGTGTGTGTATCTATTTTTTTTTTTTTAATTGTCTTTTTGAAACAGGGTCTTCCTGTAGCCCCAGCTGGTCTCAAACTCACAAACTCCACTGACTCTGCTTCCAACTGCTGGGACTAAAAGTGTGTACCACCATGCCCGGCTTTTAATGAATATTTTTAATGAGTGGAAAATTGAAGTTATTTCCTCTATTCATTTTTTGTTCCTGACAACACTTAGAAATCCAGTAACTTTGGCCATTCCCGGTGGCACATGCCTGAAATTCCAGCACTCAGAAAGCTGAGTGTGGCAGAGGACAACCAGTCTAGCCTGGGCTATAAACTGAGACTTTGTCTCACAAAGAACAAAGCACAAACCAAAAAGAAATCCAGTATATACTTCTAATATCAAAGAAAATCTTAGTTAAGCTAAGCCTGGTGGCAACAAACACCTGTAATCCCAGGAAGCAGGAGGACAGAAGGTTTGAGGCCTGGCTAGGACAGGGTTCAAGGATAGCCAAGGCAAATTAGTAGACCCTGTGTCCAATATAAAAAAAGTAAGAAGAGGGCTGTGGCTGTAGCTCAGTGGTAAAGCACTTTCAGCACGTGTGAGGCCCTAGGCTAGAACTACAAAGAAAAGGGAAAAAAAATCATGATTACTATTACTTAGTAAAAAAGTAAGATATTCTGCCATCAATCTTCAGATATAAACAAATTAACATACCTTTTAGCAAAATTTGGCACAGTTGAACCATCTGTCTTCACATGGTAATCTGGGCTATTTAGAAGATTAACTGGGACTCTTCCAAAGGGGCATGACTAGAAATGATTTGAAAGATTAAGTAATCAACTGGGACATATAAAGAGTTTACCATAATCCTAATCAAAGCAGATGGAAAATGACTTACCCGTTTAGTTTTGTTAGCTTGTTTTAAGGGATTTCGAGGTCCTATTTCTGCATCTTGAGGCGGTATATTCTCTCTAAATAGAAAGAAACTCTGATTTTTCAAATAATATTAGTACATATCTCTGCTTTACTGCTCAACATTGCTCAACATCTGCTTTACTGCTCAACATTACAGTTGTATAAAAACATACATATGTCGATATACAAAAGATATGTAAAGACCTGAATGTGTTTTCTTACCCATACAAAAACCTGGTTTTAGTAGCCTGGCCTTTGGAATCACAACTGACACTCCTATTCTGTAAATGTCCATGTGAACTCAAGAACGATTCTTGGGCAGTTACTACAGTAGATGCTGTAAAAATTTCAAAATTATGATTACATTTATGAAGAGTAATCTTACAAATAATGATATTTAGTCAATTTATAATAAATACCAGTCCCTCATGTAAGGTATGCCAGCACAAAGCTGTTCTCCACAGTTCTTTTTAGCATACAGCTATGTCCCAGGGTGAAAGCATTCTTTACTTCTAAGAGCAAAAGGCCATTTTTTGCTTTGCATCATTTTTAATGAGTTACCAATGAAAGTTTAATTAGCAAAAAGGGATACATTAAATTTTAGTAAGGGAGTTAAGATCTATTTGTTTCGCAAAGTCTTGCCTCCCTTAGAGCTACTATTTAATCTCAGTTTTAAGCATTACACCTAAATGCTTTTTTCTCTAAAATACGACCCTGAATCTTACATCAGCACTACACAGAAGCATAAGCACACATTGATAGCTACCTGATAAACTCTTCTTGTCTTCCTCTGAAAGCAGCTGCTTTTTTTGGAGGTTTAAATTACATATGGCAATTTCTAGCATTTCTAATGGCACTGCTCCATTTTCTACAGCTTTATGAAGAAGTTGTTTACTTTTTTTAAAATTACCTAAGAAAAAAAGCATTGTTACTTGAATCAGCACTCTTCACCCACCATTCCCAGTTATGTATTTATTTATCAGTGTATCTAAGGGGAAAAAAAAAATAAGACATACACATTGACATACACATTATTGCACAGATAAATATGCAGTTTCTCACTTCTCATACAGTCAACTCATCTATATCAATTCTTATTAAAATTGTTTCACTGTATAATGTGTAATTTATCATCATATTTTCAGAAGTAACAGAAATTTAACAGATCAGTACAAAAAAGAAAAAGATGAACTACTGAAACTACAAATGTCTTGACTACTTTAGATGTGAAAACAGTCCTAAGAACAACCATTTCTTATAATATATTATTCATATTAACAATTATTCAACAAAGAAAGACTGACAAATTTTGCTAAAGACTTTTCCATCAAAAGGATTTATATAAAAAGGATAAAGGCTACTGATAGACCTATCTAAACCACCCCCAAAATACAAAATAACTGAGAAATAATATCTATTTTTCTCACTAGAGATTACCAGATTTTCTTTCAAACACAAATTGCATCCCTAATAAGTGATTTATAAAATTTAATGTGAACATCATGTATTACACAGAATGTAATCAAATTTATGGGCTCCTTGAGCTATGGAGCTACGCACTTGGTGCTTAGATATAGAGAGGATCAAGAGCTGACCTCTAGAAAAAGCAGGGAAAACACTTTGAGACATAAGCACAGGAAAGGACTTTCTGAACAGCACCCCAGTTGTCCTGGAAAAAAGTCAAGAGCTGACAAAGAGAACCTCATGACACTAAAAGGCAAAAAGACAACCTACAGAATGGGAGAAAATCTTTGCCAGCTATACATCTAAGAGGATTAATATCTAGAATACACAAAGAACTAAGCCCAAAAAAATTCAATCAATAAATAAGCTAATGAAATGAACAGTTACAAAAAAGAACACAAAAGGGAACCCTTACACACTGCTGGCCAGAATGTAAACTAGTCCAGCCTCTATGGAAATCAGTACAAAAGCTTCAAAACACCTAGAAATAGGCTGGGGGGTGGGGCGGTTCTGGGCAGACTGGGCTGGGAGACCCTGTCAAAAAAAAACAAAACAAACAAAAGCTAGAACTAGATCTACCATATGACCCCGCTAGACCATTCCTGTCTATTCGCCCAAAGACCCCAGTGGACACATCACAGAGATAGGTGCATATCAATGCTTACTGCAGAACCATCCACAACAGCATGGAACCAACCTAAGAACAGGGAATGGATGAAAATGCAGTATATACATACAATGAAATTATTTTTAGACATAAAGAATGAAGTTATGTCATTTTCAGGAAAATGGACGTAACTGGAGAGAATCATATTAAGCGAATTAAGCCAATCTTTAAAGATAAATATCACTTTTTTTTCTCATTTGTGGTTCCTAGATTTTATATGCTCAGCATACAATATCTAACAAGATGTTTAAAATTTTAAAATTATATTTAAACAAGCCATGGCCACTGTAATAGCTTCTCACAATTTACAAATTTTAAATAGCAAATTTGATAGTGCTTAAATCCACATACTTGAGAGTGGTGGTAAAATTTCATTTAATTGATTATTTTGGTATGCCTAAAGAATGACTTAGCTGGTAATTAAAGAGCTTACTAACTGATGTCAGAGACCCATCAGAAATACACCCACCAGTCTGTGCAGAGGATTCCCAGGGATGTTGAACCCATCTATCCACCCTGCTGAAAATAATCAGAATTTAGACCTTGAGGCTACTGTCATATTGTAGTGATTTAGTTTCATTTTATAGAGAGCTCAACTTATTTGTTCTAAAATATAAAATTTATAATTACTATTGAAAGATCGTAAGGTGTTAAAGGCCTGATCAGCCTTATTATAATAAACAAGAAGAAGGAATCAAGTTTTCTAGGTAGAAAATGTATTTATAAAAATAAATCTGATAGTATACAGTACAGACTGAAGTCTTAGATTACTAGGACTCAGGAATCACCTCTACAGGAAAAGAGGGTTCCCAAACTGTCTGGATTGTGTAATGCCGCCCCTCCCCCCAAAACCCTCAATCCTAGGGAATAGTCTGTATTGAACAAGCCCTACTTTAGGCACAGAGGCGAAATGGGATGATTTAGCCAGAGGGCAGGCTGAGGGTATATGCAAAGGCCCTCAGAAAATGAGAGGGTTGGCAGGGGAGACTAAGGAATAGCCTTGCTAAAAATGTCTGAGGGAATTTTCTGATGTCCTGTTCCTATACAAAAGGACAAACTGAGGAACTGTGTAAGCAAGAACTAATGCTTTTTTCAGTGATAGTCTTAAGGTGAACTACCACTTAAATGTTGCGTCTATATTCCAGATTCCTTTTGGTGTTATGAAACCACAGTTTAAGAAAAGCCCATCCCAGTTCCACCTGAAATGTCTCAGGCCTTTTAGTCTACAAATACTCAGTAAAAAACTACTTTCTTTTAGAAGTTTCCTGAGTAAAACAATACAACTTATTTCCAGATTATTCCCTATTAAACACAAAAGCTAGCACAGTGAACATTCTCTGTACTTAATGCCACATAGCACTCCTCCATGTTCTCATGTGATCAACTTTTGCCTTAATTTTATACTTCAAGGCTATGATGCAATATCAAGATGTCTTACAGAAGGATGTGCTTTCACTTAAAATGTAAATTTGACATTTTCAGATTACCTTGAGACAGCTCAAACTGTGCAAAAGATATATGCACAAAAGCAAACTTCTTGCAGTTTGCTCTGGCCATTTGAAAGTAGTCACGAGCATCATCAGGCTCTTGAATACTGAAATAAAAGATTAAACTCAAATTAACAGAAATAAACAGTTACCTAAATTTGATAACTTTTATTTTCTAAAACATGAAATATTATTTTTTCTCTGTATATGCTAGGTTCTATTTGTATAACTTTTTAGGTAATGTCTATCTAAAATGTGTAATTTTGGGGGACATATGTAAATAATAGTTTACATCAGTCCCTTATAATTAAAAGCAAGAGTATTGGGTAAAAAATTACAAATTAACATGTTTTCACCTTCCCTCTTTGTAACATAGATACATATTATATAGCGAGTTAAATGTAATTAAATTGCTAATACTTACGCCTTTAATTCAGCAAATCTCACTTGAATTCGAGCAAAACTCTCATTCTGACCATATTTATCTGGAGGAAGTGCTTCAATCGCTTGACTATAACGACCAATCAATTTATTTAAAAGAGCATCATTTAGGGGGACACTGTTTTTCTCTAGCTTAAGCAAGAAATTCAACCAGTCCTCTGGGGTGTTTGCCATCATTATAATTTGGTTAACAGTTCCTGAGTTATCTGAATGAGGAGGAAAAAATTATCACAACAGAGAAATAGCAAACATACCAAACTACATGTTCCTTCAAATTATAGTTAAGATTGTAATTATTTTAAGATTGTAACAATTCACTTTGGAAAACTTTCCATCAATCAATTTAACTTAAAATATCAGACCTGGGGCTGGATAGATGGCTCAGCAGTTAAGAGCACTGACTGCTCTTACAGAGGACCTGGGTTCCCAGCACCCACGTGTCAGTTAACAACTGTTCATAACTTCAGTTCCAGGGGATCTGACACCCTTTTCTGATCTCCATGGACACTGCACAACACTGATGCACTTACATACATGCAGGCAATACACCCACACACACAAAATAAAAATAATGAAATATTTTTAAAAAATAAAATATCAGATACATTACTCTGGTCTTAGAATACCTTTCATTGAGTAAGGACCAATATTATTTCCATATACCTCAAACTTACTTATAATACAATAAAAAGATATGAAACTAATAGGGTACCCACATATCTCTTAAGTGGCCTGTTAATTTCCTGGTCTCACCAACTCATTCCTTCAAAACTTACAAAGATTTCTTTTAGTCATAGTTTTCTCACTGTGAAATCTCAACCTACACAGCAACAACAGTAAACTCAGATAGTTATTTTGTTTTTGTAACAGGGTCTCATGTAGCTCATAGTGACCTCATACTTCTGATCCTCCTGCCTCTACCTCCTGGATGCTGAGATTACAGGCATGTGGTCACCAAACCCAGTTTATTCACTTGCTTAGCATGTGCAAAGCCCTGGGTTCAATCCTTCAAAACAATTTTCACCCCATAACGTACTTAGTACAGGTTGTTTTAAAAAACAACTCAGATGTCAATCTCTTATTTAGGATATTTTAGTGACTACTGTGCATTATAAACTATGATTTCCCAGAGAAGCTATAACTTCTTCAGCTACTCTCAACAAAACATACATTTTCACATTGCAAACAAAATTACTGTCTCTTTCTACTACAACAGAACTCATTCATGACTTTGTTTTTTCAAGTTAAGTTTAATTTGGTCTAATCCTAACTTAATTTTTTCATTTTATCTTCTACTGCTCAACAGAGCAATACAGCAGGCATTATTAACAGACCCAGCTCTTTCCACTTGCAAACACTTTTCACCTAAGAAATTTTTAGAAAATCCCCAGGGATACAATAGGTATACAAATGGGACATTTTCTGATATCACAAGCCTATTTTAAAATAAAAATTATTCTTTGTCATACATACTAAAAATTAAGGCAAAGGAAAAGGATCTGCTGGTTTATTTTTACATAAAGAATTCAAATTAAATCTTGGCTGAATATCTGGTATGGCAAGATACAGAGCACTGTCGATGTGTTTTAGAGTTGATCACTAATTTTATTTTTCAAAATATTTTATTATTTTATGTGTATGAGTATATTGCCTGCATGTATGTAAATGTACCTGTGTCATGCAAAACTGCCCATAGAGATTAGAAGATAGTGTTGGATTCCCCTGGAACTGGAGTTAAGATAGTTGTTAGTAGGGTACAGGTAACTGAACCTGGGTCCTCTGCAAGAGGAGGCAGTGCTCTTAACCACTGAGCCATCTCTCTAGGCCCAAGTCAGCAATTTTAAAAACAAACATTCTAATACATTACAATCCAAAGCTAATACTATTTGATCTTACATAATGAATGACAGTAGGAAAATACTAAAAGTCTTTGATTTTCATCACTAAACTACTGCATTTTTATAAGAGCAGGAAAGTTTGTACAGTAAAAACACTGTAATCTATGACCTGCACAGGCAAGCAGTCAGAAACACCTTAGATTTATTATGCGTTTGACTTTGAATGAACTTATTACAGAGCATTCAGGCACTATTGTCCAATTTTTCCTGACCATGCAGTTAATGGGGTTGTGACCCATAGTTTAAAAAGATATAAATATATAGCACTGTGTCTGCATCCTGTAACTAGTCACATGCTGGCCAGTCAAATGACTCAATTATTTGAAATATAAGAAAGATTTCACCGGGACGGAGAGAGGCTCAGCAGTTAAGTGCACTGTCTCTTCTTGCAGAGGACCTGGGTTCAGTTCTCAGCACCCACATGTCCACTAACAGTCTGTTAACTCCTAACTCCAGTTCCAGAGGAACCCAGCACCCTCTTCTGACCTCCACAGACACTGCACAAGTACACTTACACACATGCAGGCAATATACTCAAACACATAAAATAAAAATATTTTTTAAAAAGACCAGCTTTTCAGCCAATACTTTTCACAAAGCTAGTCTACTAAACTTCTGGAATTTTCACTCATCATCATCATTCAATAAATGCCTACTTCACGCCAGGCATCATTCTAAGCACTAGATATAACAATAGATTAGAAACTCTGCCCTCATGGAAACCACACTCTAGTGGAGGAGCAGAACAACAGGCAAATAATAAGTGAATTAGCACTGCATAGGCAAACGGAAGGGAAGAAAATAGGGGACACATTCCCACCCCATGTAGGTAAGTTAGGGAAGGCCTCACTGAGGTGGTGTTTACCAAGACCCAAAAAAGGTAAAAGCAGCGTGCATTTGGGAATAGTGTTCATGACACATGCCAAGAGCAAAGTTATTGGAGTATGAGCTGTTCTAATATACAGGGTAAGACAGGAAAGGAAAACACCGCTGGGTAGGTGGGTAAAGTCTAAATATAACTTTATTAAGATCAGTGAGCCTTCCTCAATTCACAGAAGAAAAAATAAAAAGAACAGAAAATTGCATGTCTATCAATGGCAGGCATATTAGCAGACCCAGCAGACAATAACAAAGGACTTAACAAACTGAGCACACTAATAAATGATGTTTCTGTTGTTGTTTTGTTCTATTTTTTTGAGGTAGGGTTTGGCTTTGTCACTCATGCTGGCCACAAATTTGAGATCTTCCTGTCTTTGACTTCCAAGTACTAAAACCTAGGATTATAAAGATGAGCCACCATGCCACTACTATTTCTTTCTTTTCTTTTTCTTCTAGGTAGTAGAAAAATCTGTAATATTTTCAGACAAAAAAGTTAAAATATGAAATATAGTTGAATGGATAATCATCAATTACTGAGTAAATCAGGTAACATACAGTGATGAATATATCGTTCCTATACCTTAAACAACACTCAACAGTTTTTAAAAAAGAAAAGAAAAACTCACCTGTAGTATCAGCAGAGACTTTATTCAAGTTTAGCTCATCAGTAAGGTCTTCATTTTTTATTTTATTCTTAATATCTCTCACTTTGCTCATTATAGAATCAATTGTCAATTCTCTGCCACTTAACTCTTCAGCCTCCATTTCTAAATTGCAACCGTCTTTTAGAACCCAAAAGATAAAACAATAGTTTTGTGAACATATCTAAACGTAGCTGTTATTAGCATTAATGGAGATACCAGAATGTGCACGCGCACACACACACACACACACACACACCACAATATAACATCAGTGAAGTTATACTGTACGGCGCTGGACTGGAAGACACTGCACAGCATAAACATTGCTGCCTGTGCTTTTTTGCATCATTTTTTGCTTTTGAGTCAGGGTCTCATAGCCTAGGCTGGCCTTGATTGTTCTATACAGCTGAGGCTGTCCTTAAACTCCTGATCCTCTTGCTTCAACTTCCAAGTGTGAATTACAGACCCAAGTCACCATTCCCAGCTGATGCATTTTAAAACTTCTAGACACTGAATATCTTCCACTTTTCTTCCAGAATTATTTCCTCTGGGCCATGTACAGATTTCACTTGTTAAAAATGGAGTACTTAGGGTTGGAGAGATGGCTCAGCTTTTAAAAACACTGGCTGTTCTTGCAGAAGACCTGGTTTCGAATCCCAGCACCCACATGGCAGCTAACAACTGTTTGTAACTCCAGGTCCAGGGAATCTGACGCCCTCTTCTCCTCGGGCATTTCCCAACATGGGTTTACTTACATACATGCAGGCAATACATGCCTACACATAAAAATAATAATTTTTTTTATGGCGTGCTTGCTTGGGATCTGGTAGTGACAGATCTAACTTTGGTAATGAGAATAAACTGTCCTTTTGGTCACCTACTCGAGTAATGAGAGTACTACGCAAGCAGAATATAAACGTCAGCTTTCTAAAGATAAATGAGATTCTGCAGAGGTGTCCATGAATGGATCTGACAGAATCTTGACTAGCTCCCCCAATCCTTCTAAAAGGAGTACGTAAGGTCCTCCCGTACTGCTGAGCACTTGCTCATCTGCATGATGGTGTTAGTTGCTGGATCAAGTGTCCGCAGTCCTTCCTATCAATCTCATCAGGGACTTTTGGGATCAACGCAGTCGCTCAAGGACACTGACAGCACTGCCACCGTGGAGGTTAGCAAAGTAAAAGCGGCGATAAGGGGGCAGCAAGGTGCCCCCAACTCCCGCCAGCTCTACCCCAGCTGCTTGCGGGGGAAAGCTCGCTCCCAGGCAGTGCACACCCACTTCCGGCTCCGGCTCCCCGTGGGCCGCACTCCGGCCGCCCTGCCTCCCCACGCCCGGCCGCGGCTCCCAGAGCCCCGCTCGCCACCCAGCACCTTCCCACCCGCCGCTCCCGAGCGCCCGCCGAGCAGCACCCACCTCCAGGAGACCGAGCCAGAGCCCCGGAAAGACGGAGTCCCAACCCCTACACTCGTTTGAATTTCCCCGCCGACTTCGCAGCCACTTCCTATTGGTTACGGCTCGTCTCGTGGCAGCGTCGATCGTGATTGGTTCCTGGGAGTCGCCCCGCCCCACGTACTGCTGCCGGCGAAGCCTGGGGGAGGAGCCCGCGGCCGTAGCCTCTTGCTCTGCACTCCCTGTGTTCTACGTAGGGCTCCCGGGCAGCCTCTCCTTCCGGTTTATCCGGGCCTTTTCTGCCCGGTCGAGGTGCTGCGGAGCGGAAGGGTTGCTCTCACATCCGGGTGCGCTCCTTCCGGCAGGCCTGGGAACACCCAGGGCGGGAGTCCGGCCCTTTTGTGTCGGCACTCCCTAGTGTGCCCTTCGCCACCCTCCAGGGATTCCCTGGCCTCGTCTTTAGGCTTCAAGGCTTCCCTTTGCTAGGCTTCCGGCCCGCCCGTCTTGACTGCCCGGCCCAAACTCGCCTCATCACCCCCTTCCCGGTGACACTGTCCTCGTTTAGGACTCAGCAGTCCTCCCTCGACATCCTCACGGGCACGGCTAACTGGTTGCGTGGTCCTGGGCACGGTTTCTCGACATCCGCGGGGGAAAAAAACGCAAATAGCTCTGCTGTGCCAGAATTAGGTGGATGCTGTGTGGTAGGACAGGTCGGGCGACTTTATGCGTTAGCAGCTACAGCTGTCGCTGAGAACCTCCAGCCCCCGGAGATCCCTTCATCCCTGTCAGCCCTTGTTGACACCCAAATCCATGGATGCTCAAGTCACTTGTATGAAAATGACATGGTGTAAATAACCTATGCATATACTCCTGTATACACTAAAATAAGTCATCGCTAAAATATCTAATGCCCAATTAATGTAAAAATATAGGCGTTCTACTGTATTAGAGAAAAAAGTCTACACTACAGATGCGATTAAAAATACTATTTTAAATCTACAGTTGGTTGAACCCGTGGGTGTGGAACCCACAGAGATAGAGGGTTTAATATAGTGGTGCAAAATTGGCTCCAAACTGAAAATTCACTGGTCAAGCTCAAAAGCTGAAGAGCAAATCTAAAACACATCCAGCTGTCTTAATTTATAGTCCAGAACCCAGTGCATTAATGTTTATAGCGATACAAGAAAATGCAACAGGGATAGATTTACAATGTTTGGCATCTAATTGAAAAAATTACCTCTAAGTCCAAGTGGGTGGATGAGACGCAATGAAATCAGACCCAGAAATGGCACAGATGACGTACTTGGTTGACAGGAACATTAAAATGGTAATTTTAACTGTATTTCATGCATTCCAGAAATTAGAGGGAAGTGTAAACATGGTAAAGAGAAACTCAGAGTATACGAGAAGACCCAAAACAGATGTCTAGAAATGAAGAGTACAAGACAAGCAATAGAAAATACATGAAATAGATCGGCAGCAGATTAATTGGGAAAACAAAAGATCACTAAGCTTGATCACTATGCAAAGTGAAACACGGGGGAAAAAATGAACACAGCGTCTTGTTCATGAAATAACAAAGTACTTGAAATTAGCGTTTTTAAGGGAAAAGAGGGGAAAGTAAAAACTGACAAATTTGTTAAGCTAATTAAAAGTATAAACCAAAAGATTGAATAAGTTCTGGCATATCTCAAGCACAAATGTTTATGAATTCCAAGGGCGCATAAATTGCTTAAAACTATTAGTAAGGAATGCTGGGTGTGGTAGTGCATGCCTTTAATCCCACGACTTGGGAGGCAGAAGCAGTTGGATTTCAGTGAGAAGGAGGCCAACATCGTCTACATAGTGAGTTCCAGACCAGTTGGGGCAACAGGGAGACCCTGTCTAAAAAGTAAAAAAAGTAATAGAACTATTTTTAAAAAGCAACAAGATGATAAAAGACAACAGACTTCTTGTCAAAAATAATGCAAAAAAAATAATCAAATTGCATCTCTAAAATACTAAGAAAAAGAAAAGGAAATAAAACACCAGCCTGGACTAATTGTCCATCCATCCACCAAAGGTGTCATTCATTATGAAGAGAGAACAAAGATGCTTTCAGACATACAAAAGATGAAGGAATTCATCAGCAATAGAAGTGGAGGACAAGATATCATCAAGAAAGCTCTTCAGTCAGACTAATTCTGGATCTACAAAAAGTAACATAGAATGTTGGAAATGATAAATGCGTTGCTACAAATAAAAGCATTTCTTATTTTTAAAATATCAGAAATAAGGTGAACATCAATAATCATGTATTGTCAGCTTTATAACAAGCAAAGCATGAGGCAGTATTTCCATTAATGCTGGGAAAAGGCCATACAGGCCTCCTACTGAAGGCTTTTTTCTACTATATGTATTGTACAACACTACTTGTGGTAAGTTAATGATACATTTTAAAATCTCCAGTGCCCATCGTTGTAGCCTCTTGGACACATATGGTTTTTGAGCACCTGAAATTTTACTAGCCAAAAATGAATCTCCTATAAATATAAAACATAGACCAAATTTCAATAGTGTGAAAAATCCTTTAAGAAATGCCAAAAATTGCTTATTAATACACCATTATATATGGGATATACTGGTTTAAATAAAAATAGTATTAAAATTAGGGGCTGGAGAGATGGCTCAACAGTTAAGAACGCTGGCTGTTCTTGCAGAAGACCCAGGTTCAAATCCCAGCACCCACATGGCAGCTAACAACTGTCCATAACTCCAGTTCCAGGGGATCCGACAGCCTCTTCTCTCCTCCGTGGGCATTGCATAACATGGGTGCACTTACCTACATGCAGGTAATACACCCATACACATAAAGTAAAAATAATAAAAAATATTTTTTTAATTTTAAATAGTATTAAAATTAGTCTGGGGAAAGAGCTCAGTTGAGAAAGTGTCTCTCAATCATGAAAACCTAAATTGAATCTCTAGAACACATGTTTGAAAAAAAAGCCAGGCTTAACGGGGTGTGCTGGCACACCCCTGTAGTCCCAGCGCTTGGGAGGCAGAGGCAGGTGGATCTCTGTGAGTTGAAGGCCAGCCTGGTGTACATAGTGAGTTCCAGGACAGCTGGGGCTACAGGGAGACCCTGCTTCAAAAAGAAACACACACACACACACACACACACACACACACACACACACACACAAGCCAGGCTTGATGGTGTATAATTGTAACCCTAATACTGGAGTGATAGTGAGATAGTGATAGGTGGATCCCGGCAGCTCGCTAGTCAGCTAGGCTAGACTGCTTGGCACTCTGCAGGCCGGTAAGAACCTCTTTCTTAAAAAACCAAGGTGGATGGCTCCTGAGGAACAACACCTGAAGCTATCCTCCAGCTTCCATGATCCTATGCACCACATGCACACAAATACACACACACACACACACACACACACACACACACTCACATACACATATATATACATATGCACACAAAAAATAGTATTACACTTCATTTTTTACTGTTCATTTTTTCCTTTTTAAAAGGTAGCTATTAGAAAAATTGCACATTGCAGGTGTGCTTCATATTTGTAATGTTACTAAAAACCTAAGATGATCACTGAAAACAAAACAAAAAAACAAACAAAGAAAAAGTCATGGCTACTAGTGACAAAAGAGGGAACATAAAAAGTACACAGTTAGTCCAAGATAGAAGATGGAAAAATGGAAGAAATAAACACTACTAAAATGAAATCCACTATATCAATAATTGCATAAGTGTACATGATCAAAAATTCTCAGAAAAGAGCAAAACTCAATTCACTACCTACAAAAAAATCTAATATATCTGGGAATTTTGTTGTTTGTAATGATGTTAATTTTGTCTTAATTTTTTTTTGAGATGGCTGTCTCTGTGTTGGTCTCACACCTCCTGAGCTGAAATAATCCTCCCGCCACAGCTTCCCTAGTAGTTTGGACTACAGGTGTGGGCCATCATGCCCAGATATCTAATTTAAATATGAAGCCACAAATATAAAATAAAACAAAATAATAAACTAAAAGTGAAAGAATAAAAAAATATACTGAACTTCTAAAATACTAAAATCAGAAAGACTAACTGGGCAAAGTTCTCTGAAAACAGACCAGAGGTTTGGGTTATCTAAAATCAGCCTGTGATGTCTGATGGAGGACGCATTTTGAAGGTGTCTTCCCGCTTGGATTTAGAGGTGAGCATGTCCACAGGAAGTTGAGATCAGGTGCTTTGAAGTCTAATTCCAGATTCTGTTTCATAAACCTTTACACAGCTAAAATAACCCCAACATTGTTCTCTAATGGATAAGAATAGATTTTTTTTTGACACATTTCAACACCCATTTTACCCAGACAGGCCTGGACAGTTCAGAATAGCTAACAACTGAAATATCCCTGCCAAAAACTTCAGAATGGAGAAATTGGACTTAATTGGAACAATCTACCGTGCCATTGGAATGTGTTAATTATGCAGCACCACCTTTGTAGTCTACATTTTGCCAACACCCAGGCCATTTGTCTGGAGAGAACTGAAAGCAAAACAAAGAGAAAAGGAAAATAACACAAAACGCTGTTCTGTGGTATACTCTGTTAACAGGTAAGATGATGTACCCTTTGGCTTATTTAAAATGGTAAACATTTCAAATGAAACGAATAACAGGTGTCTTCATGATAGAGATGTGGACTAGTGAGCTTGGTTGCCAGAACAGGATTCCACAGAATGAGTGGCTTAAACACCTCATTTTTTTTTTTTTCTTGCTCTAGAGGCTGGAAACCCAAGATGAGGTGCTTCTAGGGTTTGTTTGCTGCAAAGTCTTTTCTGGTAGTTTCAGGTGGTGCTGGCCCCTCTCTGCCTTCGCAAGGTGTTTTTATTGTTTGTTTCTGTGTAGGGGCAGAGACAAATCGTCTTTGGTGCTGTTTCTTATGAGGACACTAATCCTGTTGAATTAGAGCTCCACCTTTATGACTTCAATCTTAATTACCTCTTCATAGGCTTTACCTCTAAATATAATCATATTGTGGATTGTCTTTTGGGAAAACATAATTCAGTCCAGAGGGAAAAATGTCTAGGGAGAGTGGAAGAATTAGGCTTGTGTTTGCAATCTGACTGTCCCTAAGTAATATTTGTTACTTTGAAGTTTT